TGAGCTATATATCCCAGTTTTTTTCTTTTAGGCAGGGTCTTACTCTGTAGTCCAGGCTGGCCTTGAACTATGTAGCCAGACTGTCCTCGAACTTGCAAGGATTCTGCTGCGTCAGCCTCCCAGTGCTGGGATGACAGGTGCATGCCACCAGCACACTGGGCCTCACCATCTTAAAACCACACCAACAACAACCACTTAACATTATATCCCAAGTGAACATGTGAAAGAGCTGCGTCTAGAGTCTTAATCCTATTTCATAACCCTCCATAACTTCCAACTTCTAAACGAGGCCCCCATGCCCTGCGAACTGGAGATCCCTGGCTCTCACTATCAGGCACACCTTCCTCAGGGCACAGCACATGCGACGCCCTTCCAGGCAGCACTCCTGAGTCTACCAGAATCACTTATTCTGCTGGTAGGTACTGAGTGCGTCCTGTGTGTGCAGCACTGCTGCTGGTATTCCGAGCAACAGAGAAAATGCCCCACCTGGAGGCCCTTACATTTGTGGATATATTAGGTAACTGAAAAAAATCTCAGAACATGCAAGCCACGAAGACATGAAGCAGGGCTGGAAGGCTGAAACGACGAGGGACCGAAGAGGGACCGGTCTCTGGTAACGCCTCTTTGAGGAGGTAACTTCCGAGAAAGGATTTGAAGAAACAGACAGGAAAAGATGGGTGTGAAGTGAGATGCTGGGGGCCACACGAGGTGCGTAAAGGAGCTGCAGCAGGAACAAACTTTAGCTCTGGTAAGGCCACTTCTCCCCTTCTTGGGGTCAGAAGCTGAGTTTCACTACTACCTGTATGGCCCCAGCCTCTATCAAGGTACATTCGAAAGGACTTGTTAAATCAATCAATTCAGGCTGCTGGCTATTTTCCTAAAGGGTGATCTATCGGTCTATCCCTCTCTTTTCAATACTGGCGTATAATCTGATTTTGGACAGATCCCTCAACAGTCAAGGAAGGCATCCGTTCCCAAACGGGACATATACTATGTCACGGATGACTGCAGATTTGAAAAACTAAAACAGAAGCAATCTTATATTTTCCGAATGAAACAAATGGCCTGACAATGGGACCAAAACTGTGAAAACCTAAACTCCCTCCCAGACCCCCTTCTGCGGAGCACACTGCTCCCAGCTGGTCAGTGAAAAAGCCTTTACAGCCCTCGGTGCGGGCAAGGGGTAAGGACCTGAAACTGGGGTCTGGGGAAACACCCCTGGCCCTGCCACACCCCGCCCTCCCCCGTCGCTGCTCCTGCCGCGCCTCCCCCAGCCCTCCCGGGCCAGCACGTGGGCGGAACCCGCGGGCAAGGAGGCTTCGGGGTCCTTCCAGGGAGGGAGAAGAGTTGAGAGCTCGTCTCTTGGGGAAAGCAAAAGAGTGAGGAGAAGGGGCCCCGCAGGCTGACGGCTGGCCGGGGGCGGGGAGCCAAAGAGGAGAGCCGCGGCTGAGGGATCGCGCGCAGCCTCCCGGGAGGGCCTGGGCGGGGCGGGCAGGGCCGAGAAGGCCGCGCACTTACCCGGAGCTCTGGAGCGAGGGGGGGTGGCCAGGAGGCCCGAGCCGCGCTCGGAGCACAAGGGGGCTACCCAGGCCAAAGTCACGCGGAGCAGGCGGCGGAGAGCGCCCGGGAGCATACGCGGCGCGGCCGGATCTCGCTCTGCACCCCAGAGGACTCGCTGCCACCACGCTCGCACACGTGCGGCGCACAGACGCGCTGCACTCGCCGGCCCCGCCCCGGCCGCACGGAGGCCCCGCCCCGGCTGCGCGGAGGCCCCGCCCACACTCGGCTGTCTTCTGGAGACCAAGTCACCTTGACCCCACAGGTGACCCGTGGTCCACTTGAAAGTCAGAGACTGGACAAAAGTGGTTTTATTATGCATCAAAGAGCTCTTTAAGGCCTTAAGGACTTCAAAAACTGCAATTGCTTTATTATTTGTATTCGAATCTAAGTTTCCTCTACACACTTGTGGCCCTTTCTTGTACCCCCATTGCTCAGTCCACAGTGAAAAAAAATCGTATAGGGCTGGGGCTCTTGAGAAAGTGGATCCAAGAGTGCATCTCCCCACTTCTTACGCAGCCTGCTGTCTGCTCCTCAACAGGACCTGTCTCCAGAAACCTGATTATAGCCAATTTTGCTTCTGTTTAAAGAAAAATAAAATTCATATCCTTTCCCATGTTCTCCAAAGAGCATTTTACTAAATCGAAGCCTCTAGTATTTCAAATCCAGTAATTTTGCCAAACTTCAACTCTGAATGAAAAAACAAAGTCAAAAGCTTATGTTTCTGTTACGCTTGGGTGGTATGTATGTATGTATGTATGTATGTATGTATTTAGAGCCACCGTCTCACTATGTTCAGGCTGACCTGGTCTCACTGTTGGAGGTCAGGCTGACCTCAAACTCACAGCGATCCTGCGTCAGCCTCCTGAGTGCTGGAATTACTTTCTCTTATTTTTATATTGGCAGTGGTAACCCATAACTCAGGATATCCCATACGTACCTTTTTTGTTTTTGTTTTGGTGGGCCAGGGATCGAACTTAGAACCTTGTGCTTTCCAAGACAAGCACTTATGCCACTGGGCTCTCTCCCCAGCCCACCATACATATGTTTGAGTTTTTGTCTCTGTGGCTTCTAAGAACTCCCCAGCCCCACACTGCCTTTCCTGTTAGTGTGTGAGTGGCTGCCAAATCCCCAGTCCTCTGCCTACCTCTTGCAGCTAGATAAGCCTATTAGTCCTCTCTGGCAAACAGCAGGGGTTAAGGGTCACCCCTGGGCAAAAGCATGGTAGGTGTTGCATGCTCCCAGGACACTTCAGCTCCAAGGACACTTACAACTAATCTGAAAAACATCTTACAACTAATCAGCCTGCAGGCAGGAAACCAGAGGGTCATACCTGTGCAATCTAACCTTCCTTAAAAGCAAGATTGAACGATGTTGACATTTAAGATCTCCAACTAAGCCGAATCGAATAACCCTGAGTTGCAGCTCTTAGTCCACAACTCCCTCCCTCCCAGAACATCTGGATATTGTCTAAACTGTAAATTTGAGAGATCTTCATAGAATGAAGAATATGCCTCCGTCCTTCAGAGCCTTGGTGAAGCGGAGGGGGATCTCACTGTGGCTGAAGGGCCGCCCCCTTCTTCCCGCGCCTCAGGCCCGGCGCCCGCGCGCTGAGCTGCGGTCCCAGCCTCCAGCCGGCAGGGGGCGCGGCGGCACAGCTCTGCGGCTACGCGCGCAAGGCCGCTCTGGCAGGAGAGGGAGGAACCAGAGACAGCCGGAGGAAGTCGAGGTGGCGCCCAGCTGTAAGGTCTGCGAGCGGCGCTGCTGAGTGTCACCGGGCGGAGCCGGACCCCGTAAGCCCCGCTAGCGTGGCGCCAGGGACTCCCGCGGAGCCATGATGCTCATGGCCGGCGGGATCGGCGAGGCTCCGGCAGCCCCGGTGAGGCGGCCCTGGCGACCTGGGGAGGGGACAGCGGTGGCCCATTGAGGTGGCGCACACCTCCCGCGGAAGGTGGTCCTGGCGAGGTGACTCTGAGATTGGGAGAGTGGTTACCGCGGCCCGAGATGGAAACGCTGGCAGGACCACCCCCGGGGGACATAGTGCGGGGAAGTGCCCCGGGGAGGTCCCTAGGAAGGTGGCCTCGGCAGCCGGGTGCTGGGGACCCGGCCCCGATTGGAGCCTGCATGGACAGCCCTGGAATATGGAACCAGTGGTTGCCCTGGGGAGCCTGGCATGAGTCCCATCTGGGACTTTGATCGTAAAAGTGCTTGTCATACTCTTTTCCTTCCAGTGCTGCTCTGAGAGTGGTGACGAAAGGAAGAACACGGAGGAGAAAAGTAAGCAGGCTCCAAACACCTCGGCTCTTTTGGCCCAGCCATCCCTCCCAAGCCCCTCTAGGGTCCACAACAGAGAAGGGTTCTCAGCGTGTCATCGTTTGGTGAAATAACTTTTTTCCTGTACAATATGCTCACATAGTAATAAATTATGATTGTCGTAGTAGATACATTTTTGTCTAAGATTGTAAGATACGAGATGCTCTGGAGAAGAGCACTTGCCAGCCCTCCTGAGGGCAGGGATCTGGCCATCAAACTAGACAGATCTGGGACCTGCCTGCCTTTCCAGAGAAGCGCAGCTTATGAAGCATGAGAATATGGAGCGACTGATGTCTAGGCCGGATGACCACACCTTAACTGGGTTCAAAGGAACCAAGTGCAGTAATTGTTGTACTTTTACCTTCTGGACAGGAAAAGGAGAGAAATCAGTGTTTTTGTTTCTCACTAGATCAGAAGCATATATCAGGAACGTGCACATTTATCTTTTTAAATTAATGGGGTAAGTATGGCAGGTTATTGGACATCAAGGATTCCAGGGGCTTCTGAAGTGAAATTTTTGAGAGGTAGGGGGAAAACACATATTGCTCTTTCTGTGGGCATGGGCTGGGGTTCTCTTGGCCATGGCCAATAGTCTGTATGAGTCCTAGTGGTGAGACAAGGGCTCAGTACATTACTGTCTGGCCTTAACATTGGCTCCAAGCAGGTCCACAGCATTTGATGGTTGTAGCCACTAGAGCTGAGCTCCCTTGCCTTCAAGGGTTCGCGAACACTTCCAGTTTTCAATTAAACCCTACCTTCCCACCTTCATCCCACTTAGATGCCTGGGAGGCCTGACACCCACTACTGTCTCATTTAGGTAAAATGATACATGAGCCTGTCCTATCAAGAACTCTGTCGTCTTCCTCTGGTACCTCAGGTAACTGCTTTGTAATTAGAGGTATTCTTAAACAGTAGAAAAGGAAAAATACAAAAACTCCCAAGTCATCAACGTAGTATTGTGAAGCATCACTTAAGAGCATACTGTACCACATTTATACAATTAGATGTCTAGGGTGTTTTTTGTTGTCTGTTTGGGATTTTGAGTCTCTCTGTGTAGTTCAGGCTGGCTTTGAGTTCACTATGTAATCCAGGTTGAACTCACAGCAGTTCTGCCTCTGCCTCCCAAGTGCTAGGATTACAGGCATGCACCACCTTATGGGGTCTAGGTTGTATTTTTATTATTATTTTGTTTCTTTGAGACAAGGTCTCACTGTGAGGTTCAGACTGGCCTTGAATTCACAGCAACCCTCCTACCTCAGCCTCCCAAGTGCTAGGACTATAGGTGTGTCCCACTATGCATGGCTATAAAGTGTATTTTTAAAACTGATGGTAAGGGCCGGGGAGATAGCGCCTCAGAATAAGCGCTTCCCTGGCAAGCGCTTGGGCCTGAGTTCAATTCCCGACACTGCAAAAAAAAAAAAAAAAAAAAACTGAAGGTAGAATCAGCTAAAATACCCCAACTTTTGCATTCATCCATGAGGCATTTCCTGCCTCCATTTTTCTGCAGATAACACACAACTTACCTGTTCTGTTTATGAAAATGAAAAAGGTATTGTGAGTATAGTGCATAATAATAGATGGGTGATATGCACAATGACTAATAGTACTGTATATTTTATACTAATAAAGCTTAGATGCAGAAAGCCAATTTCATTCATATTTGAAGAAGAAAATTAAAAGTATTGGCCTGAGGTCCAGAAAATATGACTTTTAAGTGTAGGCTAAGTTATAGTTTGGAAGTTATAGTTAGGAAATTTCAAGACTTCTTGGTTTGGAAGTTTGAAGCATAGCATTAGGATTATTTTGCTTCTACTCACCAGTGGGCTCCTGGTTCTCATAGCCTATGAACAATTTTTTTTTTCTTTTGTACTGGGAATTGAACCCAAGACCTTCATACTGAACTACATCTCTAACCCTTTGTAAAATTTTTAGTTTAAAACAGGGTCTCCCAAAGACACTAAGTTGCTCAGGACTGACTTGAACATTAGACCCTCATACCTCAGCCTCCTAGAATGCTGCAGTTATAGACACGTACCACCATGGCTGGCTCGCTCGCTCTCTGTCTCTCTTTCTGTCTCTTTCTTTTCTTTTCTTTCTATGGGATCTTGACATATAGGCCAACCTGGCGTCAAACTCATGGTGATCCTGCCTCAGCTTCCCTAGTGCTGGGACTACAGTTGCCACCATACCCCGCTCCTGGCTCAGTCTTGTGAGTTGAAAAAGACAAGAGAAAATTTTATTTTCAAGGCAAAGACAAAGGAGAGGAAGGAACAGAGCCAGCACCAAGCACATTGGTACACTGCTAATCTTTCCATAGGTGTTTGAACTATATATTTATGTTTTGCATTCAGGCATCTCTTCAGTTAGACAAATATTTTAATTTTACCTAAAGTGACACTTGCTTTTTTAACAGGGCTTATTACATCCTCTTGTCTTTCTTTCACTGCTGTTTTCTTAAAAGTACATTTTTGGTAGAGGGCCACATTCTGCAAGGGACAGCACCAGGAAAGGCCAGGCTGAATTCTAGTCTGTTGCTCCCCCGGGAGTCTGCATTGTTCCCCCAGCTCTACCCCCACGTACACTTTTTTTGTTAATGGAACTGGGGATTGAACACAGGCCCTTGCGCTTGCCAGGGAAGTGCTTATTCCACTGAGCCATTACCCTGGCTCCAAAGGAAGAAGGATTTTTTTTTTTTTTTGCTCCGAATGCCTTCAGGGCAGGTTTGGCTGGCTTGAGTTGTGGGGTTTGAACCACAGCAACCTGAGCCTGACTGCTTTGTTGAAGCAGCCACTTAAAGAACTGAGCTAAGGGGCAGGCCCCCTTTTATTTTCTTAA